CCCCAAAACCCCAAAACCCCAAAACCCCAAAACCCCAAAACCCCAATGAATGATGTGCCGCTGGCTTAAAATATTTAACAGATTTATCAAATATCAAACGGATTCATTTAATGGGCTCTGCTCATATCCACTTATGTTTGAGACTGAATCATCGAAGGGTCCTGCTTTTCACGGATGTAATCTGCCCAAATGCTATGGAGATTTTCTCCAGGTTTTGCATCTGGAGACCGAAGCATTTTCTTCTTTGATTTAGACCCACTCAAACACAAAAAGCTTTGCTTAGATGTAGTTCCATTCATTGTGCTGTGATTTGTTTTCTTTCTGATTTTTTTCTTATTCCCTGCATAGGTCTCATGACTTGTTACCAAAGTTGTCCCTCAATAATCAGAATTCCTTCCATAAGCTTGAGTCATTTCAGGTATGTTTTGCTTGAGAGATTCACTTTTTGGGAATTTTGGATTAAGGAGCTCCTGTGTTGCTTTTTGCAATTTTTCTTTCTTTAGCCTTAATTTTTCAAAATCTTCATTTATTTCTTGGAGCCGATTGCTTTCTGGTACCTGGAACATCTCATAATCAGTATTCTTAAACTCTTTTGACTTCTCTAAAGATGGTAAATTTTCATCAAAAGGGGTCTGACTGTGAAAAGCATGAACAGTTCTTATCGAACCCTCTTGTTGATTTTTATGGCCATTAGTATGAGGTTTGAACCAATCTTTCTGCTCCCTCTGCTCATCCATACTCTTATTTATGCATCATTTTCTCTGCTTTAAACAGTCTGGTTTGGATATCATCTTGGACTTTTTGGATATAGTTTTCAACCTGAGCCTTGCTACCAACTTTATTTGCGTGCTTTCTCTAGTTCTCTAATTTCATTCTCTTGGGCAATTTTGAGTAATTTCCTCTTCTCCTCTAATTTCAAGTCTACCGACTTCTTATCCTTCATGAATCTCCTGTAGATCTTATCGAAGGCTTCCTTCTTCATCTTCTTCGGCTTTTGTTCTAGTTGTTGCTCTGAAGTTGTTATAGACGGACTCACCTGGATCTTTGATGAAACTACACACATTGTACCTTCTTTGAGAAATACTTCCAGAATTCTCTTGTTTTCTAGCTGTAGCATTTTTAGAGAAGTTCGTTCTGCTTAGTTTTTGCTTGAGAGAAGAGCTCATGATGTTTTCCTGAGAGTTATGCCTATTCATACGTTGTGTGACCTCTCTTTCTTGAGAGATATTTCTATAGCGATCTTGGGCCTCAAACTTTTGTACTTTAAGCAATGCATCTTCGCCCTTTGTGAATCCATGTGGATAATTATGTGGTTTGTCAAATTTTACTTCATTTTTAAACTTCTTTTCATTATCTGGTAAGAAATTGATGTTGAAAGCTTGCCCAAGCTTTGTTCCATCATACTTCTTATACATTTTCTTTTTCTTGGCTAAAAATGTTATATTTTGCTTACCATCACCAATTTTTGCCTTATTGGGTCTTTCAAATTCCTCAACGGTTTCTTCATCTGGTTCAAAATTCTCTTCAGCTTCGTATTCCTCGAATGTTTTGAAATAATCTTGATCGGCTTGAGCAAACCCACCGGAAGAGGTTTCCATCCTCTCTTGATTCTTCTTCCCAGGCTTATTGTACTTCAAGTTAGAATATTTATTCATATTCATTGTGATGACTTTCTTCTCCTCGATTCCTGAGTTGGCTAGATGGGATAAGGCTGAAATTCTTACAGAAGTTGTGAGAGTTAGATCTCTCTCCACTGTCACTCCTAGGAGTCTTCTCAACAGTGGCCTTAACTTCAGGGGGAGAATACTTCTCAATAACATCCTTTATGCAGATGTTCTCTTTTTGAGCATTGGAGTTGATGAAATCTCGTTGTGACAGATCTTGTGATCTATGATTAGCATAATAGCTTACATGAACTTAGAGCACTGGTTAATCTGATGACTTAGTCTTTTGTCGCGTTGTTTCTTGGATAATTCATTTCAGGCTCTTCCACTGTTGATCTGCTTATGCAAACTGCTCTCTAAAGTTCTTTGCTCAACTCTCATATCTGAGAGAATTGAGTTCTTCCGAGCAGAGCTTAATTGGTTTTGAGAATTAAGGGCACTCAAATATGGAGTAGAGACCTTAATCGCCACTGGAGAATGCATTTTCCTAGAATGTTATCAACACCTGGAATATCATGGGTTTAAAAATTCTTGGCAACAAAATTCTACCAAGAGGAAGATCTTTGGATTACGTACTTCTTCGCGCTAGATCTTTGATTGTTTTCTTTCAAGTAAATGCTACTCAGCTTATTACTTGTCACTATATACCAAATTAGATGGAATTAATATTGCGGTTACTTTTGCAATGCTTCTTTAACCTCTCCTTTTTAGGTCTTTCATCATGCTGGAATCTTGTAATTCCATGCAGATTTTTCTCCTCAAAATGCTTGATTCCTGAACTTCTATTTAACAAATTTATCCCGTTGTGGTCGATGGTCTAGTCCCAATAGAGTACTTACCAAGTGTCGTTGAAGAATATAGTGCTTTCAGCTTCAAGCTCGACTTGGCAGCTTTCATCAGGATCGATTCTCACATTGTTAAAAGTGTTTATTTTATCAACCATGGGCATAAACGGTAGTGAATTCATATCCCTATTTATTTGCAAACAATTTATTATTTAACTGGTAAATATTAACGTACAAATATTCAACTTAGGATGACATCTCCGGGGTTTTGGGGTTTTGGGGTTTTGGGGTTTTGGGGTTTTGGGG